AAAAAAAAAAAAAGTAAAATAGTGGTTGCCAGGGGCTGACGGGGAGTAGAGAAATTGGATTTGCTATTTAATGAGTACAGAACTTCAAATTTGCAATATGAAAAAGTTCTGGAGATCTATTTCACAACAATGTGAATATACTTAACACTATTTAACTATACACTTAAAGTGGTTTAAATTATAAATTTTATGTAATATGCTTTTTAATAATAAAGAAACAGGAAGTTAGTTCTGATAACACGCTACAATATGGATGAACCCTGGAGACATCATGTTAAGTGAAACAAGCCAGACACAAACGGACAAAGATTGTATGATTCCACTCATAGGAGGCAAATAGAGTAGTTGAATTCACAGAGACAGAAAATAAAATGATGGTTCTTAGGGCCTGGAGGTAGGGGAGATCAAAAAGTTATCATTTAATGAGTACGGAGTTTCAGTTCAAGAAGGAGGAAAAGTTCTGGAGATGAATATTGGTGATGGTAGCAAAATGTGAATATACTTAGTGCCCACTGAAGTACACACCATAAAATTGTATGTTAAATAAATTTATCACAATAAAAAGTACTTTGTATAGATAACTTCTCTTAATAATTCTCTTCTCAGTACCTAGCTAGGGGAGGAAGAGAGGGGGACCACCTCTTATTTCAGGGCAGGAATGGAAGACAGGGTTCGGCTCATAGTCTCCAGGCCATAGCCTCAGGTGTAAGAGGGAGGGGAATGGCTTTTTGGTGGAGTTTACCTGAGTAGGGCTGGTATGGTCAAAATGTTTATAAACTACTGGACTACACTTTTCCCAGTCCTTTGGCTAGAGAGGGAAGATGTTCCTGGGGTTCTTTTGTTTATTTGTTTGTTTGTTTTTGTTTGCACATGTAGGTATTTTTTGGTTTTGGCCTCTCTAGAGCTCAGGTTAGAATATATAAGAGGAAAAAAGTAAAACTAAACAAAAAATAGGGGAGTCCCTACTGCGTTATTATTTAATAACGCAGAGAATTATGAGCCCCTAGCCAGTCTACCTTATTTTCTCTACCTTTCTGTCTTCTGCCAGCTGTTTTATGAATTCTGAGGTTATTTTTTTGTTTTTTTACCTTGGTAATTCTTGGAGACTAGGATAGAATAATGCTTACTCTGCCTTATCTGGGATCAAAATTTCTAGTAGCTACCCTTGCTATTCTTACACTCCTTATGGTCTTGTTTTACCTCTTTTAGTGATTAACCACATTTTACTATTCAGTACTTCTTGATGTTAACATTTTACCTGTTCAAATTACTGTTATTGTTTTCATGTCCTGACTGGATCATGACTGATATGCAGTTTTTGGTAATAATATGATCATGAATGTGGTAGAGGTATGTAGAAGAGATGGTCATTGAAAATAAAAATTTCAACCGCAGAAAAATTAAAGGATTGAAAGGATCATCTATATCAAAGTTGAAGTCACAGAAGAGAAGAGAAAGACAAAGTGCCAGGAGCTCACAGGCTCAGCCCCTTTACCACAGTACACCCATGACCACCAGGCCCTTTAATGAATGCCCCCAGGAACTCTGCTAGAACAACCACTTTTAATCCTGTTTCAAAATGTTCTGCATGGAACTGTTTTCATTTTTGTCTAATGTCAAGAATCTCACTCTGAGGTCAGGAAGTCTAGTTCTAATCCTGACTTTATTATGTACATTCTAACCTTACAACCTAAGCAATGCATTTCCCTTCATGGAATGCAGGTTCAAACCACAATTTCCTCCTCTGTGAAAGAGAATGTTTGTTTCCTTTCTGTTTGCCTCCCAGAATGACTTTGAAGGGACTTTGTGCACATGATATACATTAATATGCCCATGCTAGAGATGAAGCCTCTCCATTTTGACTGCCCAGGTACATAGATTCTAGAGCAAAGCATGTCTTTTTGTCCCTGCCCCTCCTCTAATCCAAGTCTTCCTTTGTTTTCCCTTGGACTATTGCTACAGTCTGTTATCTATCTCCCTGGTAATTCTTTCTCATAGACTGCCAGATGAGTCCTTCTAAAATATATCTTTCTAAAAAACAATAAGGTAGTCTGTTGTCTAAAACCTACCATGGCTACCCATTACACCTCTAGGGATTCTCCATGAACCAGCCTCAGTCAGTCGTCTAGTCATACTTCTCCACATAGCCCTCTCCTGTTGCCAAAGCATTTCACTTTTGGCATCCATATAGGTTAGCTCACTGATCTATAACTTGTTATTTCACATTTAAATGCCTTTGAATAAGCTGATGCCTCTGCCTGGAATGCTCTCCTTCCCTGATCTCTGCTTGGTAAAATATTTTTCCTTTAAGTCTCAACCCAAATACAACTTTGAGCATATAGATCTTTTTCTTTTTTCCATACAATAAGAGGTAGCCTTTTCCACCACTGAGGTTCCATTTCAGTTGACTTATTCTTCTCTAGAATGCTTTCACCACAAATGGCTCTATTCTGTGGTTATCTGTAAATGTTACGTCTACTTTACTAGCTGGAAATACCTCTTAGGCATGAATATATCTTACTCATTTGGATCTTCCCAGCAATCAGAAGAAAGCCTGGAATATAGTAAATGCTCAAGGAATGTTAAATAAACTGCTAAGGTAGTACATAGGGTTAAGTTGTAAGGATAGCTTGCAATGGGGACAAATTTGAACTATGTGTGGAGACTATATAGAGTGTGCCTAATTTGTGAGCTGTGACTAAGAATGTGGAGGTACAGAGGTACGGTTTGTAAGGGAGATTTGGTTCATGAGTATAGCATGTGCATATGTGCCCAGGGCTTGCCCTTTCTACACCTTGGACAAAGCTAGTTTTCTTCCATGGCATTGAACTTATCCCTTCCTCCCTGCCACCCTAGTCCCTGCTTTCTTACCTTAAGTGTATGTCAGTCTCTAGTCCATAGGCTCCTTGTTCAACAGCTTTCTCAAAGGACATCATGGTGTTCTCAGGCCCCAACTGCGAAAAAAAAAACATCAGGCCGTATGCCTCAGAATCTCTCCTTGCAACATTCCGTTTATGGTAGGAATGGAGCTCAAAAATGAAAGGACTTTGGGAAGCAGAGCTTGGCTCCCTCAGCTCTCTTTTCAAAGAGCCTGCTGGTATAACCCTCTGTCCAATCTGATTCTGGGACTCTGTGCCTCTGAGGCAATGTCATTGAGCATGGTTAAGAGAAATGGACAGAGAGTTAGGTAACCTTGGTTCAAGTTCAACCTCTACAACTTTTTTTTTTTTTTTTTTAGACAGAGTCTCGCTTTGTTGCCCAGGCTAGAGTGAGTGCCATGGCATCAGCCTAGCGCACAGCAACCTCAAACTCCTGGGCTCAAGCGATCCTCCTGCCTCAGCCTCCCAAGTAGCTGGGACTACAGGCATGCGCCACCATGCCCAGCTAATTTTTTGTATATATGTTAGTTGGCCAATTAATTTCTTTCTATTTATAGTAGAGACGGGGGTCTCGCTCTTGCTCAGGCTGGTTTCGAACTCCTGACCTCCAGCAATCCGCCTGCCTCAGCCTCCCAGAGTGCTAGGATTACAGGCAGGAGCCACCGCGCCCGGCCCAACCTCTACAATTAACTCCTTATTCTTGCCATCTTAAGATAATCCTCCTTCCTCTCCAGGGCTTCCTATGATTCTAAAGTTCCTTTCATTCATTCACAAACCCTATACATACCTGTACTCATCCATGTTCATCATGCTCAGACTTACCATGGGTGCACCTCTATGTCCCAAGAGGAATGGCTTAGGCCCCAAATCCTCCTCCTTCTGAATGCAGGGAGAATAAATTCCCAGTGGCATCAAATAGAGACATAAAAGGATAAGAAAAAAAGGTAATCCAACAGCCACTTGTAGACCTGAAAAAGTTAGAAGGAGGGGGAAATGGGGGAAAACAGGAAAAAAGTGATGGAAAAGCATCCCAATCAACTATCCCAAAGCAGCAGTATGAGTAAATCCCCAGCCTATGGGTTTCACTGACTCGTGGACTGGCTAATTTACTTTCTATTTCTGTCACATCCCCACTTACTTTCAGGGACTTGGATATAAAAGTACAGAACTGTCCAAATATAAGTCATCATTATTAAGGGAACTTTATTGGAACTGAAAATTGACAGAGGAATGAATTATGCAGGGTTGGGAAGTAAAGAAAAAACAGAGAATGTGTCAATGTCAAGGAGCAGTTTCTGAGGAGAAGAAGGTTCTGAGAAAGCCCCCAAAGCCTGTAAAGATCATCCTAAAACACCTCTATATTTAAGGCAGTACAATATAGTGGAAATGGCACTAACTGATAGAAATCTGAGTTCAAATCTAGACTCTGCCACTTCCTAATTTTGTGACTAAGAACATGTTACTTAACCTCTCTGGATCTTCATTTTCTTCTGTAAAATGGGGCTGTCTTGCTGCCAAAATCAACCTCTTAGAGTTGTTATGATGGTGTTAACTCATAAGAGTTACTCAATAAACATTGTTTGCTTCCCTGTCTCCCTCTCTCTCACTCTGTCTCTCACACACACCCACCCACCCACCCACCCATCAGAGCCTGTCCACAATCCCTTGTATGACCAGCCATTCCCCAATACTTAGACCTCTGAGGATTTCACCCATTTGTACACTTTTAAGTTATCACCTATACTTTAGTGACTTTCAAATCTAGGTCTCCAGCTCTAACCTCTTAACCTTCTGAATATATTACATCTCTTGAGTCTTTTTTTCTCAGAACGTGTCATCATGTGTCTTCTTATTCTAACTAAAATTTAGAAAGTGAAAAAGAAAAGAGTTCATTATTGTCCCCTTTAAGGTCCTGCCCCAGAAATATTTTCTAAAATTTACCCTCAACACACACAAACACACAATAGCACCACTAGGAATCCAGTCTTTCTCTCACTTGCATCTCCCTACAAGTTACCCCTTTTTATTTTTCATTAACTGTATATAGTTTAGTATACAGATTCAATTTTCTTTTTTTTATATTATATTTAGGGCAAAGAATGGAGAGGAAATCAGTGGCAAAGATAGAAATTTGCTTCTGTTGTAACTCCCAGTTATGACATGGACTCTGAGGAGACTACTTTGAGTTACTTGGCTATAACCAGGGATCTCTGGACCTAGTATTAGTTGAAACTAGTAATACTTGAATACAAACTGAAACAACTGTGACTCGTACCAGCATTCTAGTCAAGTAAAATTAAAATGGCCTCTATTACCTCCTATCCATCCCCAGTCAATATGTAAAAACATGGAGAAAATTTTTATTTTTCTAAAAAAAGAACTCCTCTTTAGAAGAGGGTCTGCTTGGTCATGAAAATACTATGACAGGCCATGTAGGTAATGGATGAGAGCACAGGAATATACCTGAGTAACAAGCTAAATGATTTCAAAGAGGCATAAGAGCAGCTATCTCTCAAGCTTCTGTTTTCCTGAGTGGAGTATGAAAACTAAAGCCAGAGCTGAAGGGATAAGGTGAGCTTCCACCCCATATAACATACCTTCTCTTTCCAAATAGGCCACATATAAAGCCACAGGCCAGGAAAGAACAATCATCAGAGTTACGCTGCACAGGTGCACGTAGGGAGCAAAGATCTGGGAGAAAGCCAAAAGTCAGGCTGGACATATCTGAACAGACAGTACTAGACTACAGGATGATGCTTACCTTCAGTGACAGCCCAACCACCAGCCACCTTTCCTTCCAGAATTTGCATATAATTAACATGAAGACGACGCACAGCAGAATCACCACAAGAACCAGGATCTAGGGAAACAGAAAAGATCTCTTGATTTCTACATACTAGCCTTAGATCAAAACTGTCCTTAGCAATTGTATGTGTGTCTTTACAATGTCAGGGACCTTATGTCTTTCCTCATCTTTTTAATCTAACCATCCTGCAAATCTCCAATACTGGGTGGATCCATTCATTCACATTCTTTGCTCCTAAGTCTTTGCTGTACAGCAAGGTTGGAAAAAAATTAGACAGCTAGGCAGTATGATGCTATTACTAATTTATCACTTCCAGCCTCAGCTGAGCCCTCAACATTGCTTGGTATGTCTCACTCAGTTTTACCAATGCCCAATACAAATCTTCACCACTTCTTTATACCTCAGTTATATACTCAATACAATTATAAGCAATATCCTGTTTAATTTTTTTTTTTTGAGACACAATCTACTGTGTTTGCCTGAGTTAGTGTGCAGTGGCATCATCATAGCTCACTGCAACCTCAAATTCCTGGGCTCAATCTTCCCACCCTAGCCTCCCAAGTTGCTGGGACTACAGACACATGATACCACACCTGGCTAATTTTTAAAATTTTTTTGTGGGAGTCTTGCTATGTTGCCCAGGCTGGTCTCAAACTCATGGCCTCAAGCAATCCTGCCACGTCAGCTTCCCATAGTGCTAGGATTACAGGCATGAGCCACTGAACATGGCCAATATTTTGTAATTGCTTTTTCGATGTATGTTTTCCTCAACAGATTATAAATTTCACGAGGTCAAGGATAATATTGGTATTGTTTATATTACAGCCTTGGTGCCTTGCAAAATGTCTGGCACATAGTAAGCATGCAATAAATATTTGTTAAACAGATGAAAAAATATGCTTGCCAGAACACTATATACTTCGTACAGAAAAAACATTGAGACCAAGGAAACATAACTTTCTTAACTTCCATTCTTTCAAATATATAGTTTTTCTACATCTGTGCTGCCCTCTATATAGTACTTAGTTCCCGCCTTTCCATAATCTCTATACTTAAAGTTAATTGAATCCATAATTACCCTCTTATAAAATAAGACCTTGGTGGCTTCCATGGTAAATTCTACCAAACATTTAAGGAAGAAATCTTTATAATCTTTAAAAAAACTCTTCCAGAGAATAGAAAAAGAACACTTTCTAAAATATCTTATGAGACCAACAAAACAGTGATACCCAAATTCAGTAAGAACAGAAAAGTATAGTCCAATTTCTCTGATATACACAGATACAAAAATCTTAAACAGCCTATTAGCAAACTAAATGCATAACAACACAACGTCTAAATTGTCAAATCAGACTCATATGAATAACAGATCTTACCCAACAACAAAATTTACCAGTGCTTTAAAGCAGCAGTACCCAACCTTTTTGGCACCAGGGACTGGTTTCATGGAAGACAATTTTTCCACGGACAGGGGTGGGGGAGTAGGCGGAGCTCAGGTGGTAATAATGCATGGCCCTGTTTTCCTACCAGCCCAGGGGTTAGGGACCACAACTTTAAAAGATATAGGCTGCTATAAACATTTTAGAAGACAGGCACTGACTCCACCAAGGGAGTTGTGGTCAAGGTTCTAGGCACAAGGGTCTCTGAAAACAGACCAGGAAAAAGCCCATGGGAGGAAAAGCCAACTGTACATTTACCTGGTCCAGATGGGATCAACCCCTGATTTTTCTCTTGCCTCTCCTTGTGGGACTGTGCGCTTTTCTCCTATCTCCTCTTCCCCTGGGCACCACTCAGGTGGAGGAGAGGTAAAAGGACCACATGGCTCTCTCCACCAGTGCTTCCAGGTTCAGATCAGGCCCAAATAGGGGAGGGGAAAAGTTTTAATGTTAATAAAGTTGGAGTTTGGGTTATTACAGTGAACTAAAATTTTAAGTGACTGAAATGAGAATGTTCTTGTAACTAAAAAAGACTGGGAAAGTAATGGAATTTGTCTAAAATTTGATTGGGATGGGAAGAACAAGGCCACAGAGTGAGTTTACCATATAGTAGTAAAAAAGAATAAAGTTTGGGTTTAGATCCTTCCATAAATCAGTTATGTTACAAATTTAATTATTTCAGTTAAAATGGTGTGAACAGATCTCTTTAGGAGGAACAATGAGAGAGAAAGGGCAACTCTGTACATAACACTGAGTACTAAGGAGCATGTTCAGTCTGGGTCTAAGGTCTCCTAGGAGGATTCAGATATCCTACCTTATGACACCAGTGCAAGTATAGTTCAACCCCTTCCCAAAGCAACAAAAATCCAAGTAACTGCAAAAGCAAAGAAGAAAAAGACAGTTATTTTGAAATCTCCAAGTTACTGCCCAAAGCATTTCATAGCTCAAAATTCCTTTCACAATCTGACACTATGCTCTCTTCTTGCTAAACCTGCACTTTTCAGCCTCTAGGGGTTTGCTATGCAGTTCCTCTGCCTGGAAAGCTCTTCCTCCCCATGCATCTGATCCTTGAAAGCCAGTTCAAATGTCACCTCCTATTTTTAACTTTCATCAGCACCTGCAGGAAGAATTCATTATTACCTCCTCTGGGATTTCATACTGACACTCTTCCTGAGTTCCTGCCCATTCCTTGTGATGGACCTTATTCTTGGTATTACTTAGATTTACTCGTAAGAGAATAAAAGTCAGGGTCAGCCCTTCCAAGGGCTCTTTCTTTGGGAAACCAGGACTATTACTACATATTACAACTGTCAGCCACTGTTGTTAACATTGGTAAATACTCAATCTTAGATTTGAATCTAACTCTAGCCAGTCACCAAATCAGTATGGAGATGGAAGCTGAAAACGGGAGTTCTCAGACGCCTAGAATATTAATGACCGTTTGAATGTATATGGCACTTACATTTTTATAAAAATAATTTCATGTATATGATTTCACTTGTTCTTTCCTTGACCCTATAAAATACCATTTTATTAAATATTATCATTCTCATTTGAAATAAAGGAAACCGAGGCTCAGAAGAGTTATATGATTTGACCAAAGTTACAAAGAATAGGAAATATTAATAGAATCCAGGTCTCCCTCCTTTTTCACTATTGTTGCCATTGTATGTATTCAAAAAGGAGTAAAGTAGAAAGTTTGTTCAAATATTTTGCTTTACTGAACACCAGAGTTCATTCCCATGTTAGAAACTTACTTTACCATTTTGTATTTATTGTGTATTAAAATGGTACAATTCAGTGGTCAAAGTTTGCCCTAGGGCACATTGCTCATCTGTATTTTCCCCATTAAAAAGAAACATTTCCAGCTGGTCTTTCTGCCTATAAGCCACCCTCCCTACCACAACTTCCAGAATGATTTTCCTAAAATAGAAACCCAATTTATGCTAAATGTCCTAGCCTTTCTTTCTGGGCCTTCCAAAATCTGTCACAAACCTACCTTTCCAGCCATGTTTCCCACACACAGGGGTGGGGAACCTGCGGCCTTCTGATTTCAAGATTGTTCTTTTTTAAGCACCAAAGGAGGCAGGAAAAGCTTCAACTTTCTCTGCTGCATCCCTTTTAATAAAAGGATTTGTTCTGTAAAATTTGAATTCAGTCAAATTCAGCCACACTTAAGAACCCAGAAGGTCACATTTCACCTTAAGGTCACAGGTTCTGCACCCCTGACAGAGTGACACTGACAGTACTGACCTTTCCTCTTAATAAGACATCTAGTATTTTTTGTCTTTCCGACTTGGTCAAGATGCTTCCTCAGGCCAGATTGTTCTTCCCCATTCCCATATCCATATGTCAAATTCAACATCCCTTCCAAGATTCCACTCCAATCCTACCTCTTATCAGAAGCCTTACTTAATCCTCTTTGCTAGAAATCACCTTTTCCTTCTCAGAACTCCTACAAAATTTTATTTAGGCCTCTCTAATGACAATTATAAATGCTCTACCTGTGTTAGTTATTTTTTGTCTATGACTTAGTTGCCCTACTAGATTCTAAACATTGAATGAACAGTTGTAACTTTATATCTCATATCTATCTCTATGAAGTACCCTACATGAAAACAGAAACTGCTTATGTTTTATTTATCTCTGTATACTCAGCACTTAGCACAATGTTTTGCTTACATAATGATTAATAAATTTTGTTGAAAGAAAAAAATAATGCAAATGGCAACAGATTTGGTGGTTGGGTTCTTCTGTACCAGACAGGAAAATCAGTTGAGAAAGGAATGGTGAAATCAGAGAAAGTCATTTGCCATATGTATAAATGGGCACTGAAAAACTCTAACAGCCTAAAGTCATCCTCCCCTTAAGCTTGCCATTTCTACAGACTTTCCTGTTGCCTGGTGTCAATTTCTCACCCTACACAAAACACTACTATGTCACACAACAGAGGCAGGGTCACATTATAGCCAAAAGACTTTTGCTAAAATGTACTTTGCATCTGGCCTGTGTGACTAGCATTTGCACACTAGAACAAGTTTAACAAACTAGTGAATTTATAAGGCCCCAGAAAGACTGATTTTCAGAAGATGGGACATGAAATGAGTAAGGTACTGCTGATACGAAGCTGTGGATATCTAAAATGACAATTCTGAGTGAACCATAGGATAGTCTATGAAACAAGGAAATAAAAAAACGATGTTCTGCCATATTTTGAAAGGGCCAAATAGGTAAGACACATCCTTTAATTTAGCATAGGCCTTCCCCCCACCTCCATCCTTTGTGCCTAAAATTCAAATAGCTAATGTAAACCCCAAGTCTACTAAGATGAGAGTAATCTTAGGTTCTGAGGACTCCCAACACAAATGGGATACTATACCACAGGCAGGAGCATCTTATGAGGCTACTTATGAAGGGAATGGGAGAAACAGGAAGCATTACTCACCAACAACAATGAAGAGTAGGCCGTCAGGATCCCAGCTAAACTCAGAATAAAAATAGAACAGAAGATCCACTGTCCTGTTCCTAGAAAAACAACCCTGAAAAAGATGTGTTTCAAACCTTAAAATACAGCACAAATCAGGATAGGCACAAGACCAGACTAAATGTAGCATAAGAAAATGAAGAGAGATAAAAAGAGAAGCAGTTTGTGAACAGATCAGTGACAGCTTTGGGGATATTTACTTGAGGAGTTTTACATTGTGTCCTGAAGGCACCCGGGTACATTAATGGGGTCTGTATAAGTGGTAGGTTTTTAAAAAGTTATTTAGAATATTTATTTTGAAATTATGACCTCTTCAAAAAAACAATATAATACAGAAATTCTGGAATGCCAGAAGAGAAAAAATCATCCCATATAAGTTCACTGCCTTAACAAAACTAATACTTTCCAATTTAGCATATGCAAATTATCTATACACAAACATATTGTCTTACATAACTGCAATCACAGCTAGCATATTAATTGCTCTATTCTCTGTGAGAGAGTTGGGCCCTTTAAAAAAAAATGTCCTGATTGTTCTGTTCCTAAAGTAGTATTTGAGAAAAAATTGCTAATGATTTGTTAAAAGGAAACACTATTATACTTGATTTAGGTATTACATATCAAAGAATTTAGACTTCTCATTTCAAAAAACAGAAATTACCTCTTCTCCATATAAAACTTGGATAAATTATCATTTTAAAGATGTAAAATATAGGTTAGTGAACATATAACTACATTAAAAATAAGAAAGGAAATTCTCCTTGGATAAGGGCTGTTAGATACAGCAAGAAGAAAGAAATAGGCAGGCCGGGCGCGGTGGCTCACGCCTGTAATCCTAGCACTCTGGGAGGCCGAGGCGGGCGGATTGCTGGAGGTCAGGAGTTTGAAACCAGCCTAAGCAAGAGTGAGATCCCCGTCTCTACTATAAATAGAAAGAAATTAATTGGCCAACTAATATATATATAGAAAAAAAAATTAGCCGGGCATGGTGGCGCATGCCTGTAGTCCCAGCTACTCGGGAGACTGAGGCAATAGGATTGCCTGAGCCCGGGAGTTTGAGGTTGCTGTGAGCTAGGCTGACGCCACAGCACTCACTCTAGCCTGGGCAATAAAGCAAGACTCTGTCTCCAAAAAAAAAAAAGAAAAAAAGAAAGAAATAGGCAAGCAACATTACTAGCAAGAGGAATCCCAGATCAAGACATGGGAAGAATACTCTGTAGCAGATGAGCTCACACTAAGGAATCAGAAAACATGTAAGGAATGTCAACAAATGAACCCAATGAAGCCAACAAAGAGAAGAACCTGCAACCAAAAAAACATTATTAATAGATCAGAAAAGAGCCACAAAAATAAATATATTTAAGATCTTCCAGGAAGTAAAGGAAGGACTCATATGCATGAAACAAGAATAGGATGTTTTAATGCAAGTACAGGTGGTTATCAAAACAATCAAATAGAGCCCGTGAAAAAAAATTTTAAATAAAAAACATGAAATATGGCCTTAATAGCACTCTACATACAGCCAAAGAAATAATCAAATAGCCTAACCAAATAGTGATATTGACTTTGCTTTCCAATTAACAAAGAAAATTTAAGTTTTGTCATTTAATGATACCTCTACTTTTTCTAATACTTGATATTTATTTTAGTCCCTTTCAATCTAAAAAGTTGTCTTTTAGATATTTAATCATATGTAAATATTATTACTATTGATTTGGTTCACTTCAAAGCCCTCTCACCAAACTCAGGTGAAGTTCCCAACACCTTCTGTGAACTAACCATAGGCAAAGGAAAAACCTTGATCTGGTTTTTTCTCCCTCTTCTACTCCTTCCTGTCCCAGTCATCTATACTTAGTTTTGGTGGTGGTGGTGGTGTGACAAAAAAGAGTGCAAAGAGTGAGAAAGAGTTTATGTGACTGCCTGGGAATTGACAGAGGAAGTCTCCTTTCTTGGCCATCACCTCTTTAAATTGGGAATGCACAGGGCTGATGACTATGCAGTAGGATCACTCTACATAGGGGTATACAATTTAGGCTTCTTATGACTTAGTATTTTTAAGCAGTTTTCTTTATGCTCTGGACCATTGTGTTTTCATACCTCAAGCAGCATAATCACACCCCCTTTTTAGATGTATGCCTTCTTGCTCAGCTGAGACAGTCTTCTTGGGGTAGCCTAGGCCATGGGACCTACTCATCTAAAATCTGTATTTTATGCTGTTATGTTTAAAGGAATCTTCCAGGACCTTTCCTTGCTTTCTCACATCTGTAAAATGAAGCTTCCTTGCATCTTTCCCTAATATATATATAATGCTTTATATCTGCATCACCAACTGTCAACTGACAGTAACACTAGATAAGAAAAAAAGACACATTGGTGGTGAGGTATTAGGAACCTTCACATAGCAAGGAAAGGAGAGACGCATCTAACTCCATAACACACAGAGGGAAACAAAGGGAAGCGACAGTTACCCTCTCAAAAATCCTGCTCTCTCTAGCTAAGGGGAACAACTAGAAAAGCTAAATAAAATGTTTTTAAAAATCTAAATGAAGGCATCAGACATCTACCAAGCAGTGAAGAACTATGGAGCTAAGATCTAGACAATAAAGAAAATCCAGATACAGCATGGTATTTGGGGTGATTTTTCTCTAGAAGAATTGGTTAAGATACAAGAAGCCCTTATAAACCTCACAAGGCTAATAGAACAAAAAGGGGAGAAGATAATGTGGTAAACACCATACATTTTGATTTGGCACCTTCCAAGCCACATCCTAGGAGTAAGCACAAACTGGAAATAGACTGATTGGAGCTTTGAACCATCTAAATATGTGAAATTGGATTAAGGTAAATAAGATTTGGTTATCTGTCAGAAGCCCTGCTCTGAGAAAACATAATGTAAAATTTGAGGTCCAAAATTATTTATATAATTTCTTATATACAATGTCTGGCACTAAAGCAAAAAGAATCAGACATTAGTGAATGCCAAAAGCAGCAATGGACAACATCAAAGAACTTCAGGAAATCTAGATAGTGGAGGTATCAGACACAGACTTCTAAGTAACTATCCTTAACTGTTCAGACTGCAAAAAAATTTAAAAATTTCAGCAAAGAACTATTAAAAAGAGGCCCAATTCAAAATTCTAGAAACAAAGCCAGGTACAGTGGTTCACAACTGTAATCTCAGTGCTTTGGGGGAGTCTGAGGCAGGAGGATCACTTTAGGCTGGTTTGAGACCAGCCTGGGCAATATAGCAAGACCCCATCTCTACAAAAATAAAAAATAAATTGGCCAGGTGTGGTGGCACACACCTGTAGTCCTAGCTACTTGGGAGACTGAGGTGGGAGGATCACCTGAGCCCAAGAGTTCGATGTTACAGTGAGATATGATCATACCACTGTACTTATCTGGCCCAGGACTTGGAGCAACTAAAGACAATGCAATAGAAGCAAGAAGAATGTGGGCCCAAATGCTGCCCCAGAGCAACTAAGGAACTACCAGATACTGACATTGCATCAAGGCTACCTAGTGCCTGGGGCTCATCACCAATACTCTAGAGTATAATAAAAAAGGGCTACTGATTCACTTCCCCCTTTCATATGTTATATAAATTTCTCTTGTGACCAAATCCTAATACAGTCTTATACTAGGAATGGAATTCTGAGAAAACACACCAACCATTTTCCTAAGAGAAGATACAAATTCTTTTATCACTACTGGGTGATGTTTATTCCTCTAACTTAAGTATTGATATATAAGATTAACTACAATAGTAGTTATGTTTACATGACACAAGTTTTGTTCAATGGTAGAGGAATACAAGAAGATTATATATACATTAATATATAGATAGATATGCAGAATTCTGGCACCCAAGATCTTTGTTTTCTGATGTCATACCAGTGATGTCAGACGTCAAAGGGACTTTTTGCACATGAAATTAAGGTTACTACTCAAGTGACTTTAAAATGGAGAGGTTATCCTGGATTATCTGGGTGAATCCAATGTAACCATATGAGCTCCTAAAAATCAGAAGAACAAGGCAAAGAAATGTGATGAAAGGGGAAGGAAGAGAAATTTGAAGTCTGAGAAGAAGTTCACATACCCTGGCTAGCTCTAAGATGGAGAAGGTCTCAAACTAAGGAATGCACTGGCCTCTTGAAGCTGAAAACAATGTTAGCAGGGACTTCAGTCCTATATCCACAAGGAAGTGAATTCTGTTAACAACTTGAATGAACCTGGAAGTGGATTCTCACTCGGAGACTCCAGGTAAAAGCTCATGCCAGCTGGCAGTTGATTTCAGTCTTAGGAGATCCTAAGTAGAGTACCCAGCTGAGTAAACCAGACTTCTAACTTACAGAACTGTGAAATAGTACATGGGTATTGTTTTGAACTGTTAAATTTGTGGTAATTTGCTATGGCAGCAATGGAAAACTACCCATGCAACTTATTGTTGCCTTAGGACCTGCCAGAGCTCACTCATATATACAAGTTCTATATGGTGATAAAGTGTTGCTGTGGGAAGATTCTGCCTGCTGAGTATGAATGTTGATTCCAACTATGCATTCCAGAACTAGGGAAATAAACCCCTAGTGGTTTGGGGACCCACTAGGCTCACTGTGGAGATGGGCCCAAGCCAAAACTCCATTGATTGCCTGACATCCCAAAACCCCTACTCTAACTTGTGAATCACAGTGGCTTTTTGGATCTCTAGGAATTTGTGTCAGTTCAGATTCACTGTCCAGCAATTTCCCAAAAGGTATTTCTTCTTCCCCAGTGCATACCCACCCTGGTAAATGGCCAGGGGTTCCTTGAGGAAAACTAAGAGGAAGACTGACACTATATACTTTGGCTGTGAGGAGGGTCCTTTCTTAAGGCCTTCCTCTCTCAAGGGCTTCTGAGACTGTAGACTTATCAAGTTTAGAAATTTGTTGAGGGGCCACACTTTCTATTGTGGTGATTCAATTCAGAATTCTCTTCATGAGAGAACTAGAGATTTTCTACAGATATAACCTAAGTAAGATTTTAGTAGGATGCCCATCTATTTCAGTTTTAGGGACA